ATATTAGGGGAAAAAAAAAGAGAAAAGGTCATACAGTTGTACAATATAGTAGGACACGAGACCTTTGAACAAAGACACATCTTTTATTAAGTTGGTATTGGTTGTGTGCATATTGAATTTTAGAAAAATTAGTACTATAAAAATTAACTAGATCTAGAAGTCATATAAAAGAACAAAATTTAAATTGTCTTAGCAATGTTAATGACTATACCACGTTTTGAGTTTAGCAATGATTTTAGAAATTGTATTTTCATGATTCGGATTTTGTTTTCTTAAGTTACCAGTAGATTAAGAAGACGAATCTACTAATTATAAAATTATATGCTGTGATGTTAACATATACTTGTGGAGCGGATATGTTATAAAGGTGACATGAGATGTTAATTTTTGGCAGAAGTATGTATGTATGACAGATTAAACAACCCCTTCAAATATAATATACATGATTGGTTTCGTATGTTATCTATTACTCAGTTTCTGACGAATATGCAACATTTTTCTGTAATAATTTGCACTTTAGTTTCCAACAAAGGTGTTTGCAAAGTGTTCAGTAATTTTGGGTAAGTGAAAGTGACACAAAAATGGCAACGGATGCAGATTGATGCCATGACAACAATAAAGCTAAGTAAAACAACACTATGTGACTTAGGAGTAGAAATGTGATTTGGATGTTAACATATAGGGAATTCCTCCAGAAGTTTTATTCTAAGCCTAGGCCCTAAAAATGTCTAGAACTGAACTTTTTTGTACGTCTCCAAGTTATGAAACCGATGCCTAAATTTACAGACTTCTTCAATACTGAGCAGTTATTTTGATTATAGTACTTTAATTTTGTAATCTAAAATATAGCGAAAAATTAGTTTTGCATCTTTTTCAATGAACACATGTCAGAAGTTGATAATTCATCATTTTATAACTTGATATTTCAAAAATTCGTGAAAGGGAAGGCATCTATAATCAAAGATGAGCCCGAATTTTCAATAGACGGATTCAGAAGTTTGTTAAGGAAACATAAACAGGTTGTGAAACTAAAAGAACTAAACGTGCTTGTCATGTACGTGGGAAAGGGCAATCTAATACTCGGGGAACATCCGCCCAGGATCAACCCATGATTTTAGCTGAAAAACTTTTGTTTGACAACATCCTTCATTAAAATGTTTGAAATAAAATTATATCTTAAAACCTTTATATCGCAAAGTTTTTGTTTTGTTTTTTCTGCCGAAAGTGAACATATTTTTTACGCATACGCCCAATTATTACGATTTTCGTACGAAACAAAGATACACACAAATTAATGTGGCGTCCTCTGGTGTGAAGTTTGTGAAATTTCAGAATTCATAAAGACTTTATTATTAATAATGAGAAGTTGTCAGTTAGAACTTTCAGACAGTAGTTTGAAGTTAGTACATAGAGCATTTAAATATTAAAAGTATTGTATTCTGATTGTGAACTAATGTAGTGTACTTTTGTATTAAGCATCTAAATTAAAATATATTACAAAACAATGCTTAATTCAACAATATAACTGATATATGCAACTTTATTAAATATAACAATTTCTCCATGATAAAATCTAGCTCCATTTTATTTTAATAATAATAAAACGTCTATACTGTGATAATGATGATTAATTTATTAGTTAAGTATACTTGCTTTTACAAATTCACTTTTTTGCATAAAACATGTTTGAAATTGTATTCCATCAGCCAATTCTATAACAACGATGCTGAATTCGGTATTGAAGCCAATTTACTTGCTGTAGATAAAGTACTATAACAGTGTAACTTGGAATAATTTACGAGAGATTTGAGGTTTGTCGTTGGGAAAAGCTTCTATAGTGCAGCTTATGTTTCATAAATATTACTGTAACGTGTTCTATCATTTCTATAAATATTACTGTAACGTGTTCTATCATTTCTATAAATATTACTGCAACGTGTTCTATCATTTCTATAAATATTAGTGTAACGTGTTCTATCATTTCTATAAATATTACTATAACGTGTTATATCATTTCTATAAATATTACTGTAACGCGTTCTATCATTTCTATAGATATTACTGTAACGCGTTCTATCATTTCTATAAATATTACTGTAACATGTTCTATCATTTCTATAAATATTACTGTAACGTGTTCTATCATTTCTATAAATATTACCATAACGTGTTCTATCATTTCTATAAATATTACTGTAACGTGTTCTATCATTTCTATAAATATTAGTGTAACGTGTTCTATCATTTCTATAAATATTACTATAACGTGTTATATCATTTCTATAAATATTACTGTAAGGTGTTCTATCATTTCTATAAATATTACTATAACGTGTTCTATCATTTCTATAAATATTACTGTAACGTGTTCTATCATTTCTATAAATATTACTGTAACGTGTTCTATCATTCGACAGTTTCTTTTAGATTACTTGGTGAAAAATCTGTCATTAGCCGTTGTTAACATCGTTGACAGTTGCAGGAGTTTTACGCATTATGAATGTGATAAAAGAAAAGTAATAATAAGTGAAACTGGGAATGTAGAGGAACTTGAAATTATATTCACTAAATTCGAATGTGTTTGGCTAGACAACTGTGATTGTGTTAGGCTAACGAAGAAGAAGATTAACATGGTAGGATTAAACTTTTCTGAAAATCTCTCACATCAACATTTGAATAAATGAAGAAACAGAAAACTAACTTTGTATAGATACATAGATAAGTCCTATATCAGTAAACATGACATTTTAAGGATACCGATAATGCTCGTTTAATGGTTATTTATTATATATGAAGTAGAAACTCGGGAAGTTCAAAACTTGTATCTAATTCATTCTTGCCTAGAAGCTGTCCTGGCATGGCCAGGTGATTAGGGCGCTCGACTCGCAATCTGCGGGTTCGAATCCCTGTCACACCAAATATGCTCGCTCTTTCAGCCATGGAGACGTTATAATGGGACGGTCAACCCCACTATTCGTTAGTAAAAGAGTAGCCCAAGAGTTGGTGGTG